AAAAAAAATTTGAATTATACTTGTAGTGACTAGTCAGGATAAATGAGCATTGTCATAATATCAATCAACAAAAGGATATTTTACCTTTAATCCTTACTCATTTAAATCCCTAAGGTTAAACCTCCAACTACAAATTAATTCAAACTTTCTTTCTTATGGCCATAAGATAATTTTAATAAAATATATTATAGTTAATCATAAAATGTTAGCGTCATCCCGTCGTGATCCCGGTTACGACACATATATATATATATATATATATACAGAGAAAAAGCTAACAATTTTAGAATATTGAGGTTATAATTATGGAATATTTTCGAATTTCGGAAGCTAATTTTCCAAAACAACTATACACTAGTTGCGCCAGCTTTGTGGTTTGGATCCTCACACTTCCCATACATTTGAAACAACAATTTCTAAAGCTTTGACAGGCAACTAAACACTGTTAGAAACTATGGCTAGAAAAAAAATGTGTTGAGGCAGTAATCAATGTCATGAAGGCAAAAATTTGGTAGATATATAATGCAACTCAATATTCGGTTTATTTATCGAGATTTAAGCAACGTGTTTAAATTCATGATAAAACATGTTAGAGCCTCACAATTAATGCTAAAAAAATTACAAAGTAGAGAAAAAATATAGGAAAGTAGAGACGTCACTCTAAAACTCCTTCGTCACTCTTTATATAGTGTAGAAGTCATCAATTCGTTGGTAAATTAAAGGTTTATGAAAAACTTTTAATAATAATGATAATAAATACATTAATAGAAACAAAATAATTAATATATTAATAAATACACTAATGACCAATAAGTGAAAGTGAGGAAAAAAATATATATATGAACAAAAGTAAAGGTTTTTGTGGCTAAATTGTTAATGTCTAGATGATTGACTTAACACGGTTAAATGAGATAATATCTTATATCCAAAAGTAATTATTTTTTAAATTAATGTATTTAAGATGAGACTCTTATTACATATATTTTTACCTTTAAAATTATGTTATTTCAACAATTAAAATTATACACAATAATGCATTGAGTTGCCCATGAGTACTTTAGAAAGACTATTTAAGTTTTTCAAAGAAGGTTGTTTGTACCTTCACACTTAAGTAGGTAAATACATTAAGAGTTCATAGTTCAACCTCATCAAACACTATCAAATATCATAAAATGAGAAGTATAATACATAAGAGTATTCATATGATCTCATTTGATCACTAATTAAGTATCTATCATACTTTTCTCCGTTCAACTTTAAGTCCACCCCTTAACAAATCTAAGGCAATTTTTCTAGGTAATCATTTTATAAAAGAAAAACATAAAAAAATTCTCATTTTTTACATGCTCTAGTGAGATATCGCTATTTTTTTTAATTAGATTATTAAAAACACCCAATGCTTATACGTATGTTTTCTCATATTATTACAAACATCATATTAATTATTAATTACACTAATTACAACTTGCAAATCATAATAAAGAGATATGAGAGGGTTAAGTCTTTCCGCAATAGTATATTAGACTTCTTAACCATTTTTCTTCTTAACCTCATAGGTCTCGTGTTTTTTTCTTCTTCTATTAGTTATTGACTATTTTTTCATTTATTTTATCAACATTTTCCATTTCTACTAAAACAAAATATAAAATATAGACCAAAATTTATTTTTGGAATAATACTTTTATTCTTCTTACTTCACAAATCTTGGCATTTTGCACATGTTTGGAACAAAGATCAAAAAATTTATTTGGTATAAAGTGTGATTGTGATTGTGTCAAAACAATGTCATCACGATTCTTTATTAATTTAATGTCTAAAATAACATCGATACGACCAAATCCTTCATTTCAAAATTACTAGATAAGAAAAACTTATCATTATTTATAACACGCAAATTGTTGTCAAAGATTAAAATATCGTCCACATAGAGACATAAAATAACATACGAATTATCATCAAATTGTTTCACATAAATATATTTACACTATTTTTAAACTGAAAACATATGACAAAACAACTTGATCAAATTTATCATGCCATTATTTAGGCCTTTGTTTTAAACTTTATAAAGATTTAACAAGCTTGAAAACTTTGTTTTCCATTCTAGGTTCTATAAAATCCTCAAGTTTATTCATGTAAATTTCTTCTTCCAAGTTGTCATTTGAGAAAGCAGTTTTTACATCAATTTGTGCATTTTCAAATTAAAAATACAAGAAAGAGCAATTCAAACTCTAATAGTAGTAAATTTAAAAATAAGAGAATATGTATCAAAGAAATCTACACCTTTTACTTGTTTATAACCAATAATAACAAGTTTTGCCTTAAACTTATCTATAGATCCATCTATCCTTCATTTTTTCCCCAAAAATCCATTTACAACCTATATTTTTACAACTACGAGGAGGGTCAGTCAAAAATAAGTTTTATTGGCTTTAAGAGAATCCATTTCATCATTAATGGTTTCTTTCCAAAAAGGTGCATCAACAAATCTCATGACCTCACTATAAGTTTTTAGTATCATCTTCAAGTAAAAAAGAATAAAATTTAGGATCAAAATCTTTAGCTTTTCTAATTCTTTTACTTATTTGAGGTTCAACATCCTTGTTAACATTTATTCTTCAAAGGAAAAATATTTTAAAAGAAAACAACAACTCTAGTTTCCATAGTTATATTATTAGAATTTTTAGAAACTTTAGAATTAATAATTAAAAATCTACAAGTAGTATTATGCAAAGAATATCCAAGAAAAACACAACCAATGGTCTTGTGACCAATTTCCTTTTCTTATTAATAGGAATATTCACCTTTGCAAGATATCCCCACACTTTGAGATATTTCAAATTTGGTTTTCTATTTTCCTAAAATTCATAAGGAGTTTTATCATAATTTTTTTATAAAGAATTCTATTCAAAATATGACATCTAGTAAACAAAGCTCATCCCCACAAATTATCAGGCAAACAAGGACTTATAAGCATATCATTTATCATGTCTAGTAAAGTATAATTTTTTTCTTTCAATAATTCCATTATATTGAGGAGCATAGGCTAAAGTAACTTCATAAATAATACCATGTGTTTCAAAATATTCACCAATTTCATTAGAGACATATTCTCCTCCTATACCATATTGAAGGAATTTAATTTTCCTTTCTAATTGATTTTCAACCTCTTTATAAACTTTGAATTTATCAAATAACTTATTTTTATGAATTATTAAATACATAACAATATTTTGAGAAGTCATCAATGAAAGTAATAAAATGTCTCTTTACACCATGAGTAATCACACCATTGCTATCATATATATCATTATGAATGAACTCAAGTAAACAAGTTTCCTTTTAAACAAAACTTTAGATTTTCTAGGTTGTTTAGCATGAACACAAACTTCACATTTTTGTTTCAATTCACTAGAAGATTTAGAAATAAGATTATGATTCATCATTCTTTTAATAGATTTCAAGTTAACATGCTCAAGTCTACCAAGCCAAGTATCACAACATTCAACATTTGAAACAAATGATGAAGAAATGCTAGAATGTTTTAATAAAAGACGATATGAAATTAAGTTTAAACAAATCATACAAATATATCCTTTGCTAACAAAGGAACTATGTTGAGAAATTACAACTCTATTGGATTCAAAAATAATTTTAAAATCTCATTGAACTAATAAAGCAAAACTAATCAATTTTTTTCAAATTTTAGAAACATGAAAAACTTCATCTAAGACAAGATGATTTTCAGAAGATAATTTTAATTATACTCCGCCTTGACCAATAATGTGTGTTAGGCTCCGATTCCCCATGCTCACAGTCCGTGTATCACATGCTTGATATGAAAAGAATATTTTTTTTTATCAGCGCACACATGAACATTAGCTTCATAGTCAATCCACCAATTATTTGAGTTATAAATAAAATTTAACCATGGGCTAGTGACATGATAGTTGTTAGATGTGGAATCCGAGCTAGCATTAGCGATAATAACATTAGCCTAAGGCTAGGAAGATGATTTCAGATCAGATGTAATATCTTTTGCCTGATGACAACGATGAAAACAACTCTTAGCAAAATGATTATTTCTCTCACAAACAAAACAAAATCACTCATTTCTTTGAGTTTTACTCTTTGCTATGTAATTGTTTTTAAAAGCTTGGTTTTTAGTTTTGGGAGAAATGGAAGCTCTAGACCAAACTTAGTTTTAGAAAAACCAGAGTTTTTAAAAAACTTTTGTTTTGGTTGATTATAATTCTCCATTAAATGAGCCTTAACTTGAAAATGAACTTTATGAGAATCCTTTAGTGAAAGGTGGTGCTTATTTTCAATTTTCAAAGAAACCAATAAGTCATCTAAAGTGAAATAATCAAGTTTATGCTTAAGGCTTCTTGCAAATTCAGACCAAAAAGGAGGTAATTTAAAAATGAAAAGACTAACAAGCATAATGTTAAACAAAGTAATTTATTTCATCTTCATGTCATAAATAATATTTTCAAATTCAATAACTTGGTTTAAAAAAGCTTTTCCATCTTCCATTTGAAAATAAATCATTCTTTCACAAGGGTATCATCTTAAACCTTTTTCAATAGAATCGTATTTCAGTTAAAGGGCATCCCATAACTCTACAATAATTTTTGTATGAAAAAATATTTTATAAATATTATCGGATAGAGCACTCAAAATATGATTGACATAATATATTTATCACTAGAACTATGACTAGATAGAAGAGCTAACTTTAACCCAAAGCACCATAAAAACTTTTTCCCATTTTTCCATTTAAAATAATAAAGATTAAACCAACTATGTAAGCCAAAATTTCATTTGTTGTTGCCAACAAATTTTCACCATTGAATTTTTCTAGCTTACAACTCAAGACTCTAAAACATTCATTGTAGACATGTTGATATTGAACAATAAAAGAACATTTCTCTCTAAGATTTTTGGAAATAATAAAAAGCAAAAATAAATAAATAAATAAATTTATCAAGAAAGCCAATATCAACAATACAATAAATATTTCAAAATTAAAAATAGAACAATTAATAACAACCAATTAAACACAAAACAAATTAAATTAAAATAAGAAATAATAAGATTAGAGTGCCTAAGTTGAAGTATATCAAGCGTTGTTCTTAGAAAAAAAACGCTCTCATTGCACTGATATTTTGAATTTATAGTGTGCTCTTCTCTTAAGATACATCAACATGTTGCACCATTTGAGTACAATGAAAGATCTCAAACCAAAATATTTAATAGTAGAAATGATTTTAAGGGAGAGAGACAATAGTAAACTCTTGTGTATATATTATTTTTAGAGAGAAAAGCTCCCATTACACTAATAATTTAAATTTATAATGTGTCTCTCTCCTAAGATACATCAATCTATTAAACTGTTCAAATACAATGAAAGATCTTAAACAAAATACCGTTCCAAAAAATTTAGTAGCAAAATGATTTTAAGGAAAAAAGACAAGTAAACTCTTTGTGTATATATTATTTTAGCTCACAACCCTTTATCTTCTAACACTATCTCACAAGCGTTTAAATTTTTATTTATTATTTCTTTTCATAAACAAAATCATGACAGTTCAAGAATGTCAAAACGAACAATATTATTAATGATGTCTACATACTTACGGTGATAATAATTTGTAATCATTCTAATTCAGTGGACCAATTCTTAAGGGAAGCGGTCTGGGCCATGCAGTAGCTTGTTTTTCCACTTCTTTAACCAGAAGACTAAGAAAAGCAGGTGAAACAAAACAATGACTACAAGTATGATTGACCAAACTACATACAAAGGAATGCGCATCCAATAAACTTTATGAACCATGTGATCGGGGGTCACCATGTACTGTGCCAAAAAGTATGTGTTCCCCATGGATGCAAGTGCCGAGAACATAGCAATGGTCAACATCCAAACCACGGGATTATTATCAAGCTAATGAGCAGCACCACCACACAAAGAGACGAAACGAAAGAAATAGTGTCGTACATTATGAACTTCTTGTAGTCATGTGGCGAAGCATAAGCTAAAACTGCAGTGCCAGCTTTGCAGATGCCATAAGTTGTGCAGGAACCGGTGATTGAATCTTCTTGCCACACCCCACCTGGTGGACTTATTGATGATTCAAAAGTCATGGTGGCAATTACAGTGGTCACTACCATCAATGTCCCTCGTTTCTCTTCTATCCAATTAGTTCGGTATTTCAGTTTCAGGTACTTCAACCATAATGTCTCCCAGAACTTCTCTCTCTTGGATCCTAGTGATGCTGATTCTGCTTGAAATGGTGATGACCCTTGTTGGTGTGCACATCTTTTAACCCCAGCTTCAATCAACATGTCTTCAATTTTAAGGCTAAGAAAATCTCTTGGACAACCCTCCAACACCTCTAAAGCTGTCAAACCTGCCTCGTTTAGAGTATTAGCTGCTGTTCTAATTTCGGGTAGCATAAGTAAGTATTTTATGGTCTGCAAAATTATAGAAAACTAATTACTATTCTTTGTTTCCCCCATAATACCATTCAAGCAACAAGATATTATAGTCTCAAATCGTGTTTTACTTTGTCAGAAAATTAAATCAAGCCAACAATTTTAAATTGCTGCAACAGGAACTTTTAATTTTGACTATTTAAAAATTACTGCACCGTCTCAAATTGAAATTTGGAATTCAACAGAGGCTGCACATCTGAAATTGAAAGTAGCAAAATTTGACATCGAAGAGGACAAAGCCAATTTGTATTCTTGTTCCTTCCAAATGAAGTTTTCTAAATATAATATTATACTATTTTGTTTGATGTATCATCTGCCTATAAAAGGCCATATGCTGTACGTATTAATTTTGTGTGTGTTATGAAATGAAATAGATGAAATGATGAAATCAGTTTTTCTCCTCTCTTCCTTTGTGTGTGTGAGTTATTTTAGAGTTATTATGTTCCACTGATAACAAATTGGTATCAGAGCTGGATAGATCCAACATTGTTTTTTTGTGAGTTTGTGAGAGAATTAGTGAGGAACAAGAGAGTTCTCACTTTATCAAAATTTTCAGAGTCTATTTGAGAGAGAGATATGGCCACCAACTACAATATTGTTTGGTCCGGTCCCAAATTAGATGGGAAACTAGATTACAATTATTGGACATTGTTGATGTCTACCCATTTGAAAGCTCACAATATTTGGAGCTTTATTGAACCAGGCTTACAACAAGGAGTTGATGATGCAACTCAAAGGAAGGACCAGTTGGCGCTATCACAAACTCATCAAGGAGTAGATTATTCAATTTTTTGCAAAATAGCAAATCCCAAAACAGCCAAAGAAGCGTGGGACATTTTGAATGAATAAAAACTTATTTAATTACTAAAATATGTATATCTATAGAGACTTGAACCTATGACATGTACCTCATGGTCTCTATGCATAACTAGACAAACTATTGAACCATTCCATTTTATATGACTATTATACTATAATAAGTTGTTTTATATCTAATTATTATAATAATAAGATATTATAAATATTTATAATATAATTGGATATCATATATATATATATATATATATATA